GCAAAGCAGAGAGTGTAACTGCATGTAATGTGAAAGTAGAGTTTGATTGTAGGAATGATGAAACTGAATCGCCTTTTCAACCTCACTGGGAGACATTTAGATCAATTAGCCTGCCTGCTTTTGCTAACTTGTTAAAATCCCTTTGAAAAGAGAATGTGTATTAGCATCATCAAAAACATCTGTATACATTGCCACAGTATCCAAAGGGACCTGCAAAAAATGACTTCAGCCCATTACTCAGAATGATCCCAGTGCAATAAAATATGAAAACACAAGGAAAAAAGATGATCGTTCAGAAAACCCAGGACTTTTCTGCTCCAGTTTTCTGCTACAATACTTAAGAAGGATGCTTAGTCATTTTTATGATCATTATTAATAACAATATTATTTATCCTTTCAAGTTCCTGCATTTTGGGAATAACTCGAAGTGAAGCTTGAAGTTGTTTCTTAAAGTTAATTAAAATACTATAGAGTTGTCTCTCTGAGGTGTAAAGTCACTGTGCATGCACTAGTTAGACTATTTTTGGAACAAGTCAATGAGTTTGTTACATTTATAACATTATAATAGTTTGCACTGACATTGAGTCATTCATTCACAATAACTAACTACTTTAGACAGTAGTTGGAGCCTCTAAGTGCTAGTGAAATACCACAAGTAAATATTTCAATTAGGCCCATAATGTTACTGAGGGGGTTTTTTTTTAATCTTCCATAGTTTGTTCTTCAGTAAGGTACCAGTACCCTTTCCACACAAACACCCATTTGTTTCCATAACTTAAAAATAGAGAACTAATTAAAGAGGTTACTATTAGTAATAAGACAGAACATCCCGTTCCTTCTTGCCACTGTACATGCAGAGTCTGGCAGCGGGTGTGATGGTGGAGTTGTCCATGTCTGTTTACTCCAAGACCCAAGGGAGGATCCTTTTGTAATAGGTGTCTAGAGGCTAATTATGAAAATAACAGACACATTTATTATTAGTTACATTCTTTTGAATTGAACTGAAACAGCATAACCAGATTGGGATGTTTCCAAGAGGGAGAGAAACAGTTCTGCAGAAGCCCCACTCACCACACACGCTAGAACGGTGCTGTGCAGTAAGTCTGAAGGACTAAGTCCCATTTCACTTTATATACCTAAACAGCACCTAACTATGCAGCCACCTAAGTGCAGATTTCAGCACTTGGAGTTTATCATTCATTTCTGGGAGCTGAAAAGTGCATAGGCCCACTGCACATGCTCAGCAGGTATGCACTCTGGCCAGGTAAGGATGCAACAAAATTTGTCCAGGTATGTAAGCCTGGGTAAATCTTGAAGTTAGTCACAGAAAAACCATGACTAGTGGGTATTAGATGCTGGGTGAGGACCTTCCCATGTTTTAGCCCAATAGCCTAGGGGTTTGGGCACTTGCCCAGGGATCAGAGGACTCGAACGCTAGCCCTCGCCACCCAGAGTGGGTTTAGACCTGCTTCCCAAAAAAGCGTTCTGACCACCAAGCTACAGTACAGGCATTATTGAAGCCTCTCTCCAGCTCTTCTCTTGAAGCCGGCCTACAAGACAGGCAAGACAGAGGTATTTGGGACAGGAGGAAAAAATTAAGACTGAGGGCGTGTGGCTCAGTGAGCAGGCAGCTGCTGCCTTGGCTGGCAGATGGCACTGGGTTCTAGTCTGGGGTCTTGATCATTAGGGCACAAACTGTTCCAGTGCTGTTTCTCCACGTTATGCAATAAGCATTTAATGTGAGATGTAGCAGATCAGCTTGAGAAGTGTCTGACCTGTGGCTAGCGTTTTCTGTTGGCAGGCAGGGGATGCAGGTTTGAAACTTCTGGCACAGTGTGAGGGGTCTGGACTCTAGATCTCCCTTTCCATATCTAAGGGCTATAACCATTGCATTATTGGCTGAAACATGGGAGGGTCCTTTTCCACAATCTCCAAAGCCATCCTGAGCCATCATCATTGGAAACAAAAAAAACTCAACAAAACAAAAACAAACCCTCAGCATTAAATTTCGTGAGGAAATATACTCCATCAGGGTTCAGTCTTATAAATGTGTGAGTCAGTTCACTGTGCTCCAGGGAACATATAAGAAGTTGTATGTCAAATTTACTGTGGCAACAGGAACAAAAACAGCCTTCCTATTTACCAGTCATTAGCCTTTCTATTTCTTGTCCACTGCTTTGGCTCTTGGTCCTGATTAAGGTGTTATTTAATTTCTGCCCGTGGACAGAAGCATGATGATCTTCTATTTAATTGCTGTCCAGATGCTGTCTTGCAAGCTGGTTTCCTGTGATGTTAGTCTGAGAAGCTATCCTTCCTTCCCCATCTCTTCCAGCCATGTTACGAGACATCACAAATGTTCTCTGAATGCACTGATTGCTCTTTGAATTTATTATTAAGGTTTCTTTTCTTTTTCTGACTGTTGCCTATTTAAGTACTGGATGCTCTTATTAGCACTGAGAAAGGGCTCACAAGTCCAGCAGAGCCATGTCTGCAGAGAGACAGCATGAACTCATGGCTAAAATGTATTGCCAGGGAGATTTGGATTCATTTCCTCTCTGTGTCACTGATTTGCTGTGTGATCTGTGACAGGATTTTCCATTTTGTCCCCAAAAGAATGGGACTTTTATGAAAAGTGGTTATGTTTTGTTTCTGGTTTGTCTTTTGATCTTGAACTCTCCTTCTTCCTTGGTATGTGTGTGGAAATTACTGCCCCCGCCCCACCCCAGCATTTAGAGAGAAAGGGATTTGGGGCATTTGCCACTCCATGAACTCTCAACCCCACATCAACCTTTCCCTGGCCAGCAATGAATATGAATTCTGTCTCCCCAGACTCCAGATCAGTTTTACCCCACATCAGTTTTGCCCCTTCTCTGTTCCCCATATCTGCCCACTGCTCCTCATCAATTCTGCCTGTCTCTAACTCTCAAACAACCCATCAGTTTGGCTTCTGAAGCCCCCATCAGCTCTGCCGATCAGTTAACCCATCTGTTCTGTATTCTCAACTCCCACCTAACCCTCAATTATCTTCCCCTCATACAACTCCAAACCTCATTTCTGCTGCTACTGAGGTTCTTCATTCCCCTTGCCCAAGTCAGGTGAAATAACTGTAGCAAGGTCCTCTTCTTTTCCTACCAGGACAGATGCTGAAGGGGTGAAGACAGGGGCTGGAGGAGTGGAACATTCCCTCTTGCTTAAAGGAGGAGAGCAGGAGAGCACAAGCAGAGCTACCCTGAGTTGTTGAACTCTTTCTATTCCCTGTTTCCTAACTATTCTTTCAAAACTGGTTGCTGAAGGGATGGTGGGGATTAGGTTACTTCATGATATCCAAGAAGCCCCAGTTGGCTGCTTCTCTCTTAAGAGGTGGGTAAGTGGAGAAGGCAGCCAGTGAGAGGGGTTTTATCCTATATGCAAGTCTAAAATTAGAGTGTTTCATCTCATTTTGAGACTGGCTCCAAATGACTGACTGCAAATCCCAGCCAAATACTCATTACGCAAGAGAATTTGTGAGAGTTCACAACAGTGTGTTGTCTACCCACTTTGCACAAAGTTGAGTGCATTATGCTCGATGGAGTTAATAATCTGGAGTAAAATCAGTGTAAAGAATACATAATCAGGGCCCTTGTCTTTTTTATTTTGTCCTTGGGCTCAGTAGTAAATAAATTGTCCATCAAACCCTCCAAGAGATGGACTAGAGACCCTGTGAGCCAACCTCAGGGAGAGCACTCAGGTGGCAAGGTTAGGTGAATATGGCGTAATCTCATCATACCCATTTGGAGCATTTGTCTCTTTTTCAGGAAGAGCAAAACTTAGTACGTACTACAGCTGAGTTAGCAAAACCAAGCAAAATAAACTAATTCCTATTTCCTAGCAATTATTTGTGCCCAACACTGTGAAACAGTTCAGTTTCCTATGGTGACCCTATGCTTGTCCTGGCTTGTCAATTTGAAGAACAGAAGTGACCAAACTGTAGAGCTGTTTAAAACTGGACTACTCTACTTCCCAGGGATTTTTGCAAATCCATTTTCTTTAGTTCTCCTTCCTCTTCATTTCCCTTTGCTGCCATGTCAAACCTCCAGACTTGAACATCTTTAGATTTGGAGAGTGGTATCTGAACCCAGATTAGAGTATTCCATAGAGATCCTGATTTTACCCTATACTGTATTGGATCAAACCTTGGAGCCCAGCACTCCCCAAAACCTGATCCGCTTTGAACCTTGTGCAAATGCAGGCTCATTGAAAGCTGACTTCAGGAAAGCAGGAAGTTCATGTTTCTTTCAATAAGGATTTAAACCTTTTTTAGTAAGCATTTAATAAGCAGGACCTGAATTTGGTACAACCAAGTGGGTGCTTCGTAGACCTGTAATAATTAGAAGTGATTCCTGCTCAAGGACAGCGTAATGCCACCTCTCAGCTTTAATTTCAAGAAGACAAAAAAAAAGTAATACACTATTTTTAACCCACATGGGCCAACAAGAGGATGTTGGTTGCTTTGCTTTGCCAGGATTGTAAGAACTTCTTAAACACACTGGTCCCACAAAATAAAATTGAAATCTATCTAAACCATTATCATCTTGAAACTCTTGGCCACCAGTGTAATTATTATGCAAATATGTCCTTGGACACAGCTTTAGCTCCACTTAGCCAATGTTATATTTGTATCTTCTCATGGCACAGAGTCAACATTTTCATGGATAAGGACCATAAACTTCTGAAGGGAAAAACCCAAGCCATTTACTTGATGCTAAAACTAACAGAAGACCCACCTTCCCTAGCTACACTGTCCCTCTTGAACAGTGCTAGAATGCTTTCTCGAGTGACCCATTACAGCTTAGCCCTGCAGTTGTTCTATTATTGTGTTGATGGTAAACTGCCTTAGACAACAAGGACTGTAAGTTATTTTCAGTCTGGTTTTGTCTGTGTAGACATCCAGTTTCCCTGCTCATATTTTGTGAGCAGTTAATCGTGATGCATACAAATATTTTTCCCTTTCTTTTCCATAGGCTGGTATGGATGGAGAAAGTATTGGGAACTGTCCTTTCTCACAACGTCTCTTCATGATCCTGTGGCTCAAAGGCGTTGTGTTCAATGTCACTACAGTTGATTTGAAAAGGTAATAAGTTATAGGATGAAAATAATTATAATGGTCCACAGTTTCCTTTGCATTAGAAAATCCCCCATTAACATCACTGGACTTTGTAGTAGGCCCACGTGCCTATGACACCGAGCAGAGTAGTTGTGATTCAGTTTCCTGAATGGTTTTTATCTGTAGAATATTTTACTTTGTATATTAAGTGGCACTCTTTCAAAAATATACTGAAAGTGAAAACCAAACTGCAGGAAGGAAGGAAGAAGGGATGGAAGTGAGAGAGGGATGGAGGAAGAACGGGAAAGCAAATATGACTGGTTTTATAAAACACTGCGAATACCAATGAGGCACTAAAGTATCATTGATGCTATGAAGTTTCTTTTCCTTTTGGCAGAAAACCAGCTGATCTGCACAACTTGGCACCTGGGACTCATCCCCCATTCTTGACTTTTAATGGGGAAGTCAAGACGGACATCAACAAAATTGAGGAGTTCCTGGAAGAGACTCTTGCACCTCCAAAGTAACAATTTAACAATTTGTTCAGTAAGGTTTCTTAGAAATAGAGAAAGAGGATTTGAATGGAAGTTAAAAGAAACCCCCATTCTGCAACCTTTACTTACAGTAGTCTTTGCTCATGGAAAATTCCTGATGACTTCAGTGGAAATATTTGCATATATAAAATTTACTTACCTGTAGAGCTGCAGAGTATTTTCCCTCATTGATTACACATGGGATTTTTGAGAATGATACCATAATAAATGTGACCAGTTCTGGTGTCCATGGTTTCCAAAAGATTGAAAGTTGGTGTAGGTACAGAGAAGTGCTACAAAAAGTATTTGTGGATGGGAGAAAACTCCTTACAGTGATAGATTTAAGATGCTCAATTTGTTTAACTTATCAAAAAGAAATGGAAAGGTGACCAGTTTATGGAATACAAACTCCTTTTCATGCAGAAAGAAAATGTCTCATTCCAGAGGCATGAGGCATGACAAAAAGCAATAGGTGGACGTTATAATCTGACAAATTCAAGTTACAAAAAAGCACACATTTTTAATATTGTCAATGATTAACTAATGGAACAAAATACCAAGGAAAGTGTCAGAAACATCCTTCCTTGAAATCTTCCG